AATAAAAGTTTAAAGGATGCCTCAACATAAAAACACAAATATCGATGGGAGCCTATATAATAATTCATCATAAAACAATAATTAATATCCCAGCAGTGTAGTGAGTATAATTATGTAGAATTTAGCTAAAAATGTTGGGTATGACTAATTTTCACATAGGAAAAGAGGTTTAACTGCTAAGCAGAGAGATTTTTATGCTTCAGTGTTATAATTCTTCTAGTGATTGATTCAACCAAACACACTTAAAAAAGTAACAAAAATGTTTTTAGAAAAAAAAACAAAATTGATGGTTTCAACAAAATACTAGCATTTTGTTTGGAAGAAACACCAAATTATAGACTGAAAAGTTAGGTAAATAGATTTAGAAAAAGTCAGTAGATGCTGGTTTTTCTTAAGATATATTTTGAGCAAAATAGTGTGTAAAAACTATTAAACACAAAGATGCAGAGTGCAGGATGGTGGTTACCAGAGGATGGGAGCCGGGGGAACGGGGAGAAGATGGTCAGATGTTACAAAGTTTCAGTTAGACAGGAGGAATGAGGTTTTGAAATCTATTGCACAGCTTGTCGACTATAGATAATAAATATGTACTGTATATTTAAAAATTGCTAAAAGCATAAACTTCAAATATTCTTACCATAAAAAATAAGTATCTGAGATGACAGATATGTTAATTAGTTTCATTTAGTAATTCAACATTATATACATATATAATGAAATCAAATTGCACCTTATTAATATGTATAGTTATAATTTTTCAATTTGTAATGAAATAAAAAAAGACCATAAGAAAATATCTCCTAGAAGGAAGAGCTTAACAACAAAACGGGCAAGGATGGAAGATCCTAGAGGGAATTTAATTGACACTGAGGTTCTACAGTTGCTTTTCTTTGGGTCACACTTATCAATATAAGGCAGATTTCAAGGCCGGGAATCGATGATTATTCCCTGGAAAATGCTGCTACTTCAGAATAGAGAAAATGTAAGAAAATTTTGTAGTCAAATAAGATCAAATTAATATAATTGGGGACTTAAGCGGTCTTACATGTATGGCCAGTCTCTACTTTGAAACATTTGCCTTATTTTGAATAAATGAACATGTGGCAGGTGGTTAAAGAGTTAAACTAATAAAAACATGGTCTGGTAGCATTGAATATTCTGCAATTTCACAGGCCTACAGTAGCAAATACTCATCATATCCTTAATTAAAAGTGCTGAAGGACCACACCCTAAGAACAGGGAGAAATCAGAGATAGAGTTCTACTGAAACCCAGCACTGGTATAACTTAAATCCTGATCCTAAGGAGTCAATCCTTAGTTCTTATTAAATAATTGTTTATTAAATAATTTAATAGTGCTTATTACATAATTGAGAGGTGACCTCTTGAGGATGAAAGCATTCTCTAAAATCACAGCAGTTATTTTTATATATCATGGGCATAACACCCTAATTTATAACATACGTGAGCAGACAAAACCTTATGGACAATATCAGAGAAAAGCAACCAGACAATGGAAGCAATATTATCTAGATATTGAAATGAGCAGTAAAGATTTTCAGATAAATTCATTAATATGTTTAAAAAATGAAGAAAAGAAGGATAAAGTAGATGAAGGTATTGAAAATTTCGCCAGAAATTTGAAATCCATAAAACTGGATTAAAAGTGATTCTAAAGCAGAAAAATACAATATCTGAAACCAATAATGCAAAGATTTGTTTCAATAGAAGTTTTGGCACAAGGCATGACACATGGGTTAAAATGTACAGAAATGGAAGCAATGAGGAAAGCAATGACGAAATAATGAGTAGAAGTATAACAGGCATGTGAGGTATACATAAAAGACCTAACACATATTTCATTTGAGGCACAGTAGTAGTAGAGGGATAAATGTCACAAATAGTATGAAAGAACTGGATACAACATTTTTTAACTGAAAACACACAGATTTAACCTATAGATTCAAAATGTTTAGCAAACACAAACAAGATAGTTAAAAGGAAATAACAGATAGGCACAGAGAAAAAAATTCTTCAATATAACTAGTGAAAAAAATTACTTCAATGGAGTAACAATAAGCTTAATCATGACTTATCAAAACAATAGATCTTTATATCATTAAAGTGTTAAAAGTACGTAATAATCAATCTAGAATTACATACAACTCCACAATATTTTCAAAAGTGAAGATGAGATAAAGATGTGCTCAGACAAGGAACACTAGATGAAAACATGGAAATGCAAAGGGGACAATGAACACTAGACATAGCAAATATGTAAGTAAATATAAGTTAATATCAACTGCATAAAACAATAATTATAATGCAATATGGAAATATATATTATACATAAAAGATTTTAATATGTGACAATAATCCAATAAT